ATATTATGTATATTATGTACATATACCCATAGTTGATATAGCTGGTATAGTACGCGTATACCGGTATTATCGCATATAAATCGCCTCAACTCCGTAATATAATGATACCGGCGGTGATGGTTTACGATATTATTATTATTTAATAGTCAGGAGCGCGGGAATGGGTGGGTGGGCCCGATTATATGTATACACGCGGTAACGGGCGGTGTCAGCGTTATACCTTCGTATAATATGGGAAACCTATATATTATTAAGTAATGTAGAGTGGAAAAATAGAAAATTCGCAGGAGTGAAAAAACCCGATTCACGCGATGCTCGAGACATTTTCGTCGGTCGAGCGTTACACGGCAAATATATTATATTATATAGGTATAGGAATAGGTAGGTATAACTATTATTTCGTTTATTTTTATTTGCTTACCGTGGGAGAGTTGTATTACTAGTCTTAACGTTTACTGTTTTTTTTTCTGCACAATTAACGACCAAAGCAGAACAAATTAAAAGAAACTAATGCTTTCGATCAAACTCACATAGTACTAGTATAATATAATGTAGTCAACCGGTGAAGCCAATTAGCATAAACGAAAATTAAACCACAGATCATAGTAACAACCCGAGTAGTCAAATTTAAACCGTGAGTATACATTTCGCTTTACTTAACCGATCATTGTAATTTGTAAACCATCAAAGTTCATATTAATAATCCTAAACAAAGTATCAGATACGATAATATTATGCAAGTGCTTATAAAATGTAATATTGTATTAAGAAGCGTGTGCATTCGTTTTATTATGAACGACTAACAAGAAAATTAATTCTAGCGATGATCGATCACTATTTTTTCATCGATAACTTAATTCGAAAGACTTTCTGCTTTTACTTTTACAGTTCCTTTGCATTCAAATATTTCTTTTGTAATTAATCGTTGTTAAGAGATCTCCTTTAATTTTTAAATTCTACTGAAAATCAATAAAGAAATAAAATGTATTTTAAAGACCACTATAAATAAATCAATTGTGATTATACTTTAGTTTGTAAAATTCAAAATTCAAAATACTATATTGTTCAAAACGTACCTATAGTGTTTGATAATAATATAATAGAATGGAATAACTACGAAAATACATATTATAATATATTAAATATATTTTATAAGGCAAGAAAACTGTTTATAAGATCAAAATGGTGAAAAATTCATACTACTTATATATATTCAATATATTTTATAAGGCAAGAAAACTCTTTATAAGATCAAAATGGTGAAAAATTCAGACTACCGACGCCATACTATATTAAATTCCATGTACAAATACTTTATAAGAGAAACTACGGCTTCAAAAACTGTGTATCGGAAGATAAGTAATTACAACGTCTTTCGGGGCAAGCTTGTTTTTTAAATAAAATGTCATAATTTTTATATAACAAGATTTATATTGTAAGTCAACAAATAAAAAAATAATAAAGAAAGATTGAATCGTTATTCTTTTTTTTTTGTTAATATATTATATGAGTCGATTACAATTCTATATCCCAAAAGTTAAGATATTTAAACAGACAATAGCTTATAAATTAATTGATCATTATAATATTATATGATAATTTTCGAAACCATTAATAAATCGTTACATCATAAAATCGAACTTCAGCCTCCGGTGTATCCAAAAGTTTTAAAACTGTTGTTAGCTCTAATACTTTCCAACACAGCAATGCGTTTTAACGTGTCTCTAAAAACAAATGTGAAATATGAAAAATAACCTTTTTAAAGTACAATCTACGTTCAATTTTCAATCAATATAGACATAAGACATTTCATGCCATCGTTGCCATGTAAATGTTCCAAAATGTATTAAAACCTAGACATCTGTAAAACCAATAGTTTCATCGTCCCATTTAAAATATAAAAGTAGAATATGTATAGACAGGATTCAGTGACCGAATAACATAATTCGAGAGTGGCATACACGAAAATGGTCTAGATTTTGTTTAAATCAAATGTGTGGAAAATTTCACAATGTTTTTGAAGTCGACAAACAAATGCATGTCATGTATTATTATTTTAGAATACTGAATATCTAACATAACATTTTGAATATTAAAATAGTTAAATACCACTCTAAATTAGGTATAAACTGCATAGGATTAATTTATAGGTAGGTACAGGCTTAGGATAACATCTAGCAAACACAATAATGATAATGAAATATTAAATAAAAAATACATACACTATTTACGTCATCGTCATCGTCATACACATTATTTAAATAGATGAATACATTTGTACAATTATGGGTTATAAAATAAATACTGATTATGTCAAAATATTAAAAACTGATAAAAGTATAGAGATGTAAATATGTAATTTTTTATTTTAATCAAATTAAAATGTGGAGATAAAAACATAAATGAAAAAAGTCCTTGAGAAAAATACACGTCATTAAATAATCAAATGTAGAAAATATATTCTCGAATATTGTATTCGAACGTAAAGTTAAAATAAATTTAAATTTGTCAAAATATTTTTTTGTTTAAGTAAATATTACTGTTTTTTTTTTTTAAATTAATAATTCTGACCACTTATTTATACGCATACAAATAAAATATTATATAATACGTCGTATGATTGCACCTTTTTTTTTTTTATCATGTTTTCATAAAGTCGCGTTTGTAATTTCAGTCATTATTTTTTTATATTTTTACAAATCACTATAGGACATTGAGGTTTTCAACAATTCATTAGTGCATTATTTATTATTTTAATTAGTGCTTACCGAATTTATTGATGTGATTCGCTCTCAAAGTGTATAATGAACAGTGATTAAAACGGATAACAAGTTCTGATGGTAAAAAAGAAAATGAAAAATAAAAAAGTCATAGCATTAAATCATTTGCATTGAACATGTGTTTTTATTTACTTTTCATTAAAAATCTAATTAAAGGTCCACTTGATTATTGTTGAAAAAATAATCCCATAATATTATCAACGAAATTAATTTTGAAAATCAATAAACGCACAGTGTGCTAAAACCCAGTACCAGAATCTCTTGATTTATTAGTCTAGGGTTCTGAAATTTCATGAAATCAATTTTTTTGAAATATTTCATATCAATGAAAGATAAAGAATAAAAATAATTTATTTAAAACTATAGTATAATAAAGCACAGTAAACACCTCTACTGATTTAAGTGATAATAAAAAATATAAAATATTTCTTACATACATAGTACCTATACATTACACAAAAAATTACATAATAATTATCTATCTTATATGTTATATTATATAATATTATGTTCTTTATATCATGGTCTGGAATTAAATATTGATAATCACTAATCGGGTATGAAATCGGTATGACCATTTAGTGATGATGTTATGAAACATACCAAGAAACAGTTTAAAAAATATATTTTTCAGTATATCATTGAAAAATATTTGAAAAAAGGGTGAATGTTTCAAGTTTGAAATATTTCAAACTGAAAATTTCAAATGAAATATTTCATACTCATAACGCTATTTATTACAAACGTAAGTACTTATTACGAATTGCGACGAATTCCAACTTTTGCGATCATAACACATTTTGATGAGCTTATTGTGGCAATACTACCAGGAACCAGAAAAAATATATATATTTTTTTCCATTTCAAATTTGAGGCCGATCAGTTTTGAAACTAGTTTTCAAAAAACTCTCATGTAAGTAGGTGATTGATTTATATGTTGTATTGACTAAAAGTTTATTTTGCCAGGTCAGTGTGTTTTATTATTTTATTATGCTATATAAACATTATTATTTTGTTATCTGATTTTTACAATAACAATGACGTCTTATATGGTAATAATTGGGCGTTCGTATTAAGAAATTTTGACATTTATTGAAAAAAATGGGTTTTCGGAAAAACATACATTTATCAACAAGTAATTATTTAAAGCATAAAAATAAAAAATACTTACACAACAAGATAACTATGGCTGAGTAAATGACTATTGATGTTTTGAACGTATAAATGTATAACATCACTACTATTTCATTTCTGCAGACGTCAATACGCATAACATTGTTAATAAAATATACGTATATTTATGGAAAGTCAATATAATGTAATACGTGCTATATATTCGTGTATTATATTTTAATGGTTTATTACCCATGTGTGAATTTTCAGTAAATTTGAATTTTCCTTTGAAAATGCATATGGAGTATGACGTGTAGTATGGTACAAAATATAACAATGGTGATTTAATACCCTGACGTATTTACCTGACAACTTCAGTGAAATCTCTCTTTTAAATTACCCCACCATTATAGTAACACCGATGTAGAGCTACTCAATGTCATTAAGCTCATTCTAATGATATTATACAGTACACAATATAATATAAGTGTAATATTCAGGGTATTAAAATCCTCGTGACTTGTGACTCGAAGTTTTGCAAGTGGCAACCACAAATATATATTTACACCTAAATATATACAAGTATTTTTGTCACAATATTTCCGTAGATTGAACTATGATTACGTACGATAGCTGATATTATTGTTATAGTCAAAAGTCAGCAACTGAGGACGGCGATCTTCTGATGTACGTTATATTATTATAAGTATCATATTATTCGTAGAGTGAAATAACTGACTGAAATAGCTGAGGTCGAATTCCCAGATGGTGAAAAACCCATCACTAAACTGAGGCTTCGTCTAATGTTACATGGTTTTGACATTTTCAAAATATACGGACGCCTTCCCCGTCTCATAAGATGTAATTTTACGTGTCGGAAGGCGTATCGGGAATGTCGACTACGTTTAATTCGTGAGACGAATTATCGCGTTTGTAATACAATATTTTCATTGACGCGTATACCACGACCACGGTGCGCGACCATGCCCAACCACCCCTGATCAGACTTGACGTGGTTTAGCTATGCCTTTGTGTGTGTGTGTGTCGTTTCATATAATCCAACTACGGAATCGCATTAATATTATATAAATTTGCCTGTGGTTTCAGATATCATGGGTTCGCCGCAGGGACTGGCACATCTTGACTTCGGGCATGTTTACTTACACAAACGACGAGAGGTTCACCGTGTTGCACGCCGAGGGCTCGGATGATTGGACATTGAAAATAAAATACGTGCAGAAAAGAGACAACGGCACATACGAGTGTCAGGTGAGTGAAAAACAACTTGTTGATACAATATTCCACGCCTTCTTTGCTGTCGCATTCCGTTGTATATACCTACTATTATTAGTATTATTATTATAATAATATCGGAGGGTCGTCCACAGCCACCGAGTATGTGGTTTGTAACGGTGATGAATAAGGAGAATAAATGTGACGTTTATACTAGTGACTTATTTTTTTTTTAACGCTATCGAATAACGCACATATTGACGGAATACTTACACGAAAAGTGTATATATATTATACTTTATAATTATATATAGTAATCCGAGTATAAACTATATTATATACATTTAGTATATACAAGTATAAACACCACCGCCGTGAGGTTATTTTTTTTTGAAATTGTTAATATATAATATGTTCCTGGATAGTTTGGGAAACTTTATTTTTCTTTATATAAAAAAAACGACAACTTTCCATCATGTGATAAGTAAGCTAAACAAGTACAACATACTTTTCTAATTGTTGTTCTTTTTTTAACAATTTCACGGAGTTATGTTCAGTGTTTTTTTATTTTTCTACTTTTACGTTTAATGTCTTCTTATAAAACTTTAAGACCAAAGTTATTTCTCAAAAAAAAAAATTGTTCGTAAACAATTATAAGAAATATATTAAAAAGTAAAAACAATACTGAACAAAAGATACAACGTTATTAGGATTTATCACATGCAATTTTTGAGATGTAGGTAATTGATTGACAATTCCGTAAAATACAAATTAAAAACAATTGATATCTGTAGTTAACTCATTAGTCATTAGTGTCCTAGTATTTGAGGCTTCAAGTTAAGTAGGTTAAGATACCGAGGTCGATTCCCAGATTGGTGGTTTAAAATTGTACATTAATTTGTACAAATCCCCAGGTAACTTTTGCATTTTTACACATAAGTATATAGAAGATTAAGGGTGTAAACGTTTAATAGATAACTAATTGCACTTATTGAGATATCTATTTGACATCTGCGATTCCCTAACACTTAACATAGATAACACGTCTTAGTAGGTATACTCATTGTGATGGTACTTCTATAGAATCGTACAGATATCACACAGAAGAACTTCACAAAACTGGGCGTTAAGCATCTGTGAGTTGTCTCAGAGTGGTCACTGAGAAATATGATAACTCTAATTTCATAATGTGAACTTTTATGTGATATATATGATGTAACTAGGTTTTAACACATATAGGATAATGAGTAATCACTTGTTAACAAATTTAATACCTTCATAAAAGCTTTCCATTATACTATAGGTATTTAGAAACTTGATTCAATAAATTCGGTTTGATCTCTGTGTAAAAAATATAAAATCAAATACAATAGTATATTTAAATAAAACAGTAGGTTTTGAACCCTGCTCACTTCGCTCGCCAGCCTGCACTTAATTACACTTGACCAACAATCTCCGTACCTATATGAAATACAGTTGCCCGACTTAATATCAGCATTCTGAGCATTAAAAAAAGTTAGTGAAAATACATTATTTTTAACACTGATATTATTTTGTGTAAAATGTTTGTTAATTTCACCATCAATGTACCAATAGTCTTCATTATTTATGGAAAACCGTCTGGATCTCTGGCAAGTCACTAACTTTTGTTTCTTTGATTTCTTTTCGTGATACTCGTCGCGTTTTAGTTTATTCTTTTTTTCTGATTTTTTTCTTGATTTTCTTGATATTGTTCTTTTTTTTTAATGGGCGCTCTTCATTTGATATCTGAATCCTCTTTTTATACATCTTACAATTATTTACAAAACAACTCTAATAGTAGTTGTCATGGTAATTATTTCATGAAACTTCAAAACTTTTTTTGCGTATTAGAGAGATAATAAAATATTAAGTTAAACTAGTAAAAATAAAAATAATTAATATAATATAATACTATATTAATTTAAACTGGGATTTTAATACTACATAGAAAATAATGGCAAACAATTAATCTTAACATATTTAAATTTATAATGGAGGGAAATTCAGATACCCGTTTTTATTACAAGAAGGGACAACTATTAATTGTCTTCATTAAAATAAAAGGTATGTTGTATAACATTGATAATGATTTTTAACATCTTATTATCAAGACACAATAATAGCATTTTAACTGTCCCAAATACCGTTTGTTTTTTTTTTCAAATATTTGCATGGCTCCTGATGATAGTTATGCTTGATATTATTATATTAATAATTTTTACAAAGTATTTAAAATATTTAATAGAATCTAAATGAAAAGAAATGTATATTTTTAAGTTAAATATCAAGTCATTTGATTTTATATCAAAAATAATATTATGTTGTCTCACGAAAATGACATACTACATCAATGTAATTTCTGTTTATGGTTCAGGGCCAATGGCTATATTGATTTCCTTAGACGTTGTGAAAAATTGGAAATATATTTCCAGCTAGAACGTGGAAAAGCGACTCAATGTTAAATGGTGTTGGAATTCATATTTTGTCATATTCCTTTTATATAAATACTCTATATATGATTCTGTGCTTCGTATATAATGTTGGATATCTAGATACGTATCAATTGAATAACCGTCAAATAAATATATATGCTGTATACAGACTAAACTGGGTATCCAGTTAAAAATAAAATAAGTTAATTTACAGTTAGAGAAGAGATAAAAAAAAATTAACTTGATGTTTATTAAAACCCCATAGAAACTTAAATGGCATTAATATAATATATACAATTAATATTTTATTTCATTATTCCTTGTTGAAATCAAATAGTCAAGAGCGTTTAGAATTGCAGTTCTTAAAAGAAAATTAACTTATGCAGTCATCATTATAGTTCGTAACTTTTGAATATTCTTATCTTTCATCATCGATCTAAAAAATATTTTGAATATTTGTATACACCATAAATAATATATTATATACTTTAAATCAAATAGTGAGTACTATTTTTTATAAATTTTACTAAACTGTGCAAAATTGAGATCACTTTACTATAAATCTTGGTACTATACTGTGTATTGACTTTATGAAATTTATGGTATCAGATGTGGGCTAACTTTGTGTTGTAACTTTTAGTTTTAACATCTTGAAAATATATTATTATCATTTGACACAAATTTCACTTTTGTCATATTTCTATAAAAATTGACGTTAAGAAAAAACCATAAAAAAATCTATGGTAATATGGTAATTGATTTTGTATGAATTATACTACCTTACTACCTAAATGAATGAAGACGAATCTACCTTAATTTCATACTGTATCCTTCACCTAATTGTATCAAATGTATTTCAGAACTATAGTATGTTTATATTTCTGCATTTATAATTATACGTTAATTATAAATTAAATTATTTATGTAGGGATAATATATCTAATGCTATTTAATATTAAAAGAACCCTTATGATTTGATACAATTAATTTATAATTATAGCACATTATTAAATCTACTAGTATTATTCCAAATATAAATTAAATAATTAAACAAATAATTTAAGCAATCACTATTAACTCTTCAATGGGTATAACAATCACTTAATATTACGAACGTGTACCTACATTTCTTTGAGAGCAACATTGTTTCACTAATATAAAAAATGAAACATATTTTTAAAATAGCCTTATTATAATATTTCTAAAATCATGCAAGCACATTCAATACAATACAATACGTTAGCCATTGGGTCCGGATATAATGTACAATGGATTAATAAAACACTATTCATAAACTAAATATTGTTTAATTCAAACAGATTTTCCAAGATATTCAATAGAATATTAAGGTAACATAATTATGCATTTAACATCTTGAGAAATAAGCACTCGATATCACGTTCCTTCCCCTACACGGTTCAATAAATTAAGCGCCTAATATTATAGTTTCGTGTAAACTCGTAATATTATTATTATTATATGAATGAAACCTCTCTTCTGTGTATACATGCCTTTTAAAAAGGCGCATACATTTATGTGAATATTATAATGATTTGCTAAGTATACGGTCCGTATTATACGTTCACATTTTTTTTTTATACACACATAATACTATTATATAGGTACCTACCTATTTTTTTACCTCTATTTTATTTTTTCACGTTCACGCCAAAACTAGAACAAATCATGCGTGAAAAGTATCAAGCACATTTAAAAGTTTTTCGTAGTTTTGTGCACCAGTGTGAAAAGATATTGTACGACAGATAAAAATACGGCTGATTGTCGGGCGAGGAGGCGGCGTTGGACGAAAGTCGTTGGGAATGGAGTGTTTTTATTTATTTTTTTTTTATCAGATTTACAGTGATAAAAAAAAGTAACACACTGTACTACGACTGATCAGGTGATTTAAACTTCTAACGCGACTGGCTTAATACGGCTAAAGTTAAAATTCATACTGAGTTCATAACTACTAAGTTGTTCTGAAAATCAATTTGAATGCAACGCTGGACGAGTTAATGTATATTTGTTTAACTCGATATGTTATATAGGCAAAAGTAGTTTAAAGGTTAACTGATATATTTTTAGTAACTTTGTTAATAGTTTGAAAAAAATGGATCAAGCAATTAACTATAAGTTAAAATCAACTGAATTAAAATTCTCATAATTGGTATAAAAAAAGCAAACATACAAAATAAAATAACAATCATAATATTATTAGGTATACACTGTAAACATAGAAAATTACCAATCGTAAAATTATAATCACTGGTATGCTGGTATACTAATCAGTGGGTCTTTTAAGTATAAGTTAAATTAACTAATTTAGATCCACACAAATGTATTTCATACAATTAACTTAATTTCATAAATAACAGTTATTTGATTAAAAAAATTATAAATCATTAAATTTGTGACAGTAAATAATCGTTCAGTTTATGGTGGATAGTCTGATAGGTATGTTAGAAACCGCAGTCTAGGAAGTCTACCATTTTCCATTTGTAAGGAACTCTTACAGCTCCCGTGTCTAGTGAGGAGGCAGTTTAACACGACCCAATATCTCGTCGACGTAGCTGATATATTCCA